GCCCCGCCTCCCGGGCGCCTCCCCTCTGCTCGCCGCTCCCCGCCGCCTCGGGAGAGGGGGTTGCAAACCACCCAAAACGGCGCGGGGTGGCGGTGCTCCATCCAGGCCCCTGGGTTTGTAGTGTGGCTGGTGCCATGCTTGTCCGCAGCAGCTTCTCCGTTGTTGCCACATCTGAGTAAGGATGCTGGCATAAAACTGAAGGGCTGTAACTTTTTTTTTCCCCTCAAAAACTTAGAGGAATTTGTCTATACAGGTATTAGAGAAAAGTATAACTTTGGGAAAATCAGAGTTGCTATGGTAGCAGGGAGTCAATAAGCTGAGTTTTTTGAGGTTTAGTAGATTTAAACTGTCCAGTTACTTGTGGCTTAAGAAACTGTGACCTTCTCAACACTTACTTATATGTAACCTATTAACTTTTCTTCATTCTCTATGCCGAGACTTTATGGGATGTCTTTTTTTTTTTTTTTTCCTCTCCTTATAGTTAAACACCCAAGAGAAAGGAAGAAGGGATATGACAGCTGTGTCAAGGCCATGGAAGAGAAGAGGATGGTTAGCCTTCATCCTCAGTCACAATGGAGGTGATTGGAGGAATTGTAGTGCTGTTGTGGAGATTTTTTTTTGAATAGTGTGAGTTAGTGATAACCTTGAGAGTTTTTCCTGAGTCAGTCTCTGTTTCTTCCTATTAAGTGAAAGTTTACTTTCCAGACTCCTATTTTAGCATTATTCTTTGTTGTGACATAAGAGTTAAGAGTCTTTTGGGGTAATTTCCATTCCTTGCATCAGGGAATGAGGCGAATGGAAAATAAGATAATTTCAGAGCTCTCAAGAAAGGAGGAAATTGGACTTTGGTATGCTTGTTTAGTGCCCCTAGGTTTGGGCTCTTTTTGTGACATTTAATATGCTGTGCACATTGCAGAAAGATGACTCACAGTTGTGGCAGACAGGCTTTGTATGATAACCACGGTGATGATGCTCTGAGTGATTTTGAAACTTGCAGTAGCAGGATTCCAATTCCCTCACCTTAAGTATATGCTGGCTTAATACAGATACTTCTTTTGCTCAGACTCTATTTCTACATAGTTTGGGAAGACCCTTTCAATATTTAGGGTTCTCTAGAAAGATATTAGAACTATGCAGTGTTGAAAATAATTCAATGTCACCCACTTACAGTGCAAAGCCAGAAGTATAATGAGTCTGTTGCAGTAGGTCAGCATCACACATGTTATGTTATAGTCAAGATGTTATTTCATAGATTACTCAAATTATTTGTTATTTCCATTTTAATCATTTTCAAAAGTATTGATCAGGTGGATTTTCTCAAGGAGGTAGCCAATAGTTGCAGATGTTTTTTGGTCCGTCATCCTGGAGGAACTGAACTGTGGTCTGCTCTCAGTGGAAAGTAGGAGGAGATTGAGCTAAGGTATGGGGTAGTGTTTTTATGTGTTCGTACGCTTAGGCAACGCATGCTACGGTCACAAGAATTTGAGCTGCACAATCTCTAAGGTTCCCTGAGTGTGTATTTAAAAAAAAAAAAAAAACAAACCAAAACAAAATCTTTGTTCTCACTACGGAAGCAGTAGGAAAACCTCAGGTGAGGGAAGAGTAGGACTAATAACCAGTCACATCTTTTTCCAACTTTTCTTGATATCTCTTAAAGCATGTGGGATGTCTACTAGTCTAGATAAAAGAACATTTGAAAACCGTCGCCTTGTTTAAAAAAAAAAAGTTTTAAAGTTGAAATATTTTTGAGAGAAGTTTTGTTTTTAAACTTCTGAGGCTCCTTGGTCAGATTGTTTTTTGCCAGAGTTGCATATAGAGGTACTTATGACCCTAGCTAATACATTTGACACTTCTAGTGCCACTTCTAGTGGAAAGAACATCAAACAGGGCTTTTGACAAAACATAATGGATCTTAATACTCATTTTGAGATTTCTGAACAAGCCACGCTTTCCATGCAAGTTATATTCTATAATTCTTATCTGAAGGCAGAAAGGAAGCACACAGGATTGAGGAGTTTGAGAAACACATGTGGAACTTGTTACAAGCCCAACTTCAATACTGAAATCCGGAATATTCTGTTTTGCTTTTGTGGTTAAGTTATGTGAAATGAATCAATGGTCTCAATCAACTTACTGGTAGAGAAGTTTGTCACTCTTGGCGCTGTAAAAACTCTTGAAAGCACAAACAAAGTGTAAATAATGTAATAATGTCTGCTCCACTAAGCAAGTGGCATTTATTACATATGGTAACAGCTCAAAGATGTAAAGAGTCCTGTTAGTCTAATTGGAAATAACACCTACATGTACTGATCTGCCAGAGCACTTCTGACACCTCTCCAGCAGGAAAGTGTATTTGGAGTAGGATGAAAATGCAACATATCCACCCCACTGAGGCAGAAACAACCGAGCTGGTGAAGGCAAGTCTGGGAGACAGGTGCTGGCTGTGACCTCTGCTCTGTCCTTACTTTGTAATTAGATGGACAAGTACAACCAAGCTCAGGTTTCTGTTGTAGCTATAAAACCCGCCAGAAGTTATCAGGGTGAGTACAAATGGAGCGAATGCAAACACATCTGTGTTCCTATTTGTGTAAACATCACAGGGTGTATCGGTAACTAGATTTAGAGGGTTAATACTAATAGCTGTGTTAATAATTGGTACAAAATAGGCATAGCCCGCCCTTTGGACGACCCATTAATGTCAAGAACTTACTTCTCAGAACATGTGCAGTGATTATAGTTAAAGCTCCAAGAGCATAGTTTCACAAAAGGCCTTTTTGTTTCTTCCTGGCCTGGTTATGGTGATCTACTGAGACCACTGATCAAAAAAGCTTTTATTTTAGAATTTTTGATCTTGCATTCCAAGTTTTGGGCTTATTACATATTATGAGTCAGGAGCAACATGTTCCAAATAGTGAGTTGTATAAGGATTTGAACCAGGGCAAGCCTTTGACAATGTAAAGTTCAGTCAAGATCTAGAGATGGGACTTAGACAGCTCATACAATCTTGTCTCCTTTCTCTAATGCTATTCCTCCAGCCCAGCTTCTGCCTCTGTGGCAGATGACCACCCCCTTTAAAAAATATATATGTATATGAGAGAGAGAGAGATAGGGGAGTAAAGTGGTCAGAATTCCATCAGCTGTTCACACCACTACCCCCAGCTTTATGCTGCTATAGTCTATGCTCTCCCATCCTAATCCCTTCTCTAGAAGTTTAGGTCTAGCCCTTGCTTTGGGCACTGCTGAGTTCACAGCGCAGGAGGTACGAGAGTCACTGCCTTGCATGTCAGGTTACAGTTAGCTTTCCCAGGGTAGCTGTTCTTAGTTCAGGGTTCTTTGTTGAAAGAAGGGTTACCTACTTTGATCTGTGTTGAATTTGAGTGCTTGGACATGGGTAGTTACATGGGACCAGCTGTGCAGAGTAACCTGGGGGGCTGGGGGGTGTGTGATGAGCCAGATTGCCAGAAGAATGGTGTCCCCCAGGAGTTGAATGTTTATGCCTAAGCCTGCCCTTTTTGGAACTGTGGTGTACCTATAATGCATGGGAAGGGCTCCTTCACCAGGTAGTGTGGGTTAGATATGACAAAGCCATACTGTGTTCTGTGCTCCTGTGGGTCACAAGATTGATAGGTCAGCTGCAGGATTCAAGTGAACAGCCTTTTGATATGGGTGGAAGAAACTCAAGCTTTTAAACACGGGGTACGTGGATTCAGACCCTGCCAGTTTTGTTTGTATCATTCAGAGCCAACTGAAGAGTCAGAATCTCTAAAATAGGGTTCTCAGCTGTTTCATTCTTCAGAACTCAAACCTGAAGCAACTGGCTGTGAAAACTTCACCATTGAAAAGTTTCACTTCCCAGATAGTGCTGTGCTATAAATATCCTGTGCAGTGGGATATGACATTTACTCCCACACATGAGACAGAGCATGCTTTGTGACTTGCATACTTTGCACCTTAACCCTTAAGCTATCTTTGAGTAAACATGGCAAGGAACCCACCTCTTCTGCTGGATAGACTCATGTTGCAGCCTGCAAGTTGGTGGGGGTTGCTGTAGTGTAAATGAGAGTAGAAATGCATCCAGAATGATTGTACTTATATGTAGAACTCGCCCATGGCTTCTTCAAGCTCTTTCAGTATCACGTAGCTGAAGACTTTGCCTTAGGAATAACAA